CAACAGAGTTGTTGCGTTTTTTGTCTCTATGTGCTAACAGTTTTGGCAGCACCAAAGCATGTTTCCGTACTGTAGCGTTTCTGCACACAGTTTCTGTTGCCACGGTCTGCGCAGTCAGAAATTGTTTGCTGGGATAGTCCCACCCGCTTTTCGTACTCTAACCCCTAACTCTTAATTTAAACATATTTAACAAAACAATGTGTTAAATATATTTAAATCTAATCAAATATTTAACAAATTTTCTTTCTGGTAGTAAAAAAACTAAGTAAGTGTTACTTTGCAGTCGTACCTATCGCTGACGAACCAATCGCCGGATGGACCAACTCCTTTGGTGGACCAATGCTAATTACAACATATCTTCAGTCCGGTATCATGAGAGTTGTATGGTGTAATGGCGACGTACAAGCACAGATAGTACCCGTTGATAAAACTGTAAATGCTTTAATCGCAAGTGCATGGGACGTTTATAATCAATTTAGGTATACAACACATTTCCTTTATATTCATGCTCGGTATTTTAACAGTTCTCTTTATTCTCACAAAAAGCAATTTTTTCAATTTATATACTTTTATCACTTTTTACTCTTATAGACATTCTTAGTTCACTCAAGTTATACGCGTATGTCAAATTGCAGCTACGCACTTTCTATCGCAATATTATTGTTATATAGAATAATGAAGATGTGTAGCCTTAGGTTCAGGTTCAGGTTAAAAATTTAATTCCAAATATATTAAGACAAGGCGTGTCTGAATTAATTGCTGGGTGTTTTTTGCAAAGAGGTAGAAATCAAAAGACTAAATTTTGCCCATACGTTTCAACTGTATTTACATTTCATCTTCAGTGGGTAAAGAGTCTAACTATCATTCACATTAAAAATTACGAGCTGTTAACTAGTTGACATTATATTCAAGACTCAAGTCTTGACTTGAGTCAAGACTTTGTCATTTCTGGGGTCCCGACATCATGAAAATAAAAAAATGTGCTATAACACATTAACAAAAAATAAAAAAAAGTCTTTAGATACATAAAAGTTCCACTAATATGTACTAATAATACTAATAATATAATAATATGTACTAATAATATGTACTAAAAGAAATATTATTTAAGAGCATATACGAGTCACAATACAGAAATAATCAAACTGAAGTATTCACTTGTATTTTAGTATCACAGATCCGTAATATTCTTCGACAATCCAATTGGCATATAATATTAAAGCGCTTATATTTTTAGGTTATGCAGAAACAATTCCAACACGAGAATCTATAACTGTATTACATCTGATAATGGACCGAATTGGCGTGAATTTCTTACCACCATAGTAACATTAAAAACTGTATATCCCGTAAATCATACACTATGGGAACCAATGGTTATTATAAAATCCCCAAAAATTATATACGATATTTATATTTTGTTTTATCACTTATTTCCTGGAGTGTTTATGGACATTGCAAGAGTGATCACAGGTCATCAACCAAGGTATTATAATATGAATCCGTCACATTTTCTTGCGCATAAGTATTTCTTATAATAAATATAATTCTGTATCGAAATTGTATGTCTTCATGTTTTTTTAGAATACTAAAAATGTATAAGAGAATCCATAAAATAATGAAAGAAAACAGTCCTTTCATCCTTAATGAATGGATTTATAATAACCACAACGTTCATACAATGTGGAATCGCTTAAGTACGCAGGATCAACAATTGTTTAATTTTAACATGAAAAAATTTGATTGGGAAACCTATTTTCTCAATTATTGCAAAGGCAAACGTTTGTATTTACTAAATCAAAATAATAGCAGTTTAAAAAGGGCTCTCACTAGACGTAAAAGGTAACAGAATTTTTTCATTTTGTGTGTTGTTTTCATTGTGTGTGTTTTCGTCTATACTTAAGTAAAATTCAAATAAAATAAAAAATTCACATATTATAGATTTTATTATATGCATCTACTACTGAAAGCCTTCATCATGATGTTATATTTTGCTGCTTTTTGGAAACTATATTCATTAATAACTAAATAATTTGTCTATACGTACTGTGCGTTTGTGGCACTTGATCTCTTGTTCCACGATCATCTGCAATCACTAGTCAACTGGTTCACAGTACATATCGCATTATAGCAATATATCGAAGACCTGTAAGATAAGTATATTCCTGCTAAAATTTTGTGTGTATGTGTTTAAACATTAAATATAGTAAATAAAAGTAAATAAAAAAAAAATTAATAAATAAAAAATTTATATGCCACATTTTTACAATTAGTGTTGTTCCCGAAAAAAATATTTTGTAAAAATTATCAAAGGAATCCTATTACCAATATACAAGTAATTATACTACTTATATACAATATTAAACAAAAAGAATTGTTGTTGGAAAAAAATAAATTCTCTAAATATAAATGTTTGCGAAAAGTTATTCTAAGACAAAGAAAATATTTGAACAATATAAAGTATACTAATATAAAGTGCTAGCGATACTAATTTAAAGTGCTATTATAAACATTATTGTTATACAAATTCTACTAACAATTTGGTTATAGTCTGAATGATACATGCAGTACTTTAATGTTAGTTCGCGTTGAAACGATAAGCTATGTTACATATGTAAGCGAAATATATGTATGAATATATAATATTTGTAACGTTGTATGTGACAATATAAATAAAGATATAGAGAGCAAGGACATTTTTGTTTGCAAATATTTTCTTTATCCTTTCTTTTTGTCATGTATACAAACTATGTTTTAGGAAAAGAATACGAGAGAGCCAAAGGGAATATGTTCACATATGAAAAACACACGAAAAGAGTATTTTCGCGCGTGTTTAGATATTTAATATAACTCTATATATTATCCGTCAACTTTTATTTATTATATATATTTTTTATATATATTATATATTATAAAATTTAACTCCAAGTGGCGATAAAATAACGTGTAATTGCAACGTGCGTGCGTGTATATGTGTCTGTGTGTGTTGCACCTTATATGTAATATGTTTGTGTATTTTGTGTGTACGTGTGTCTGTTACGTTTATGTTGTTTGTTTGTTTCTCTGTGTGTATATATATATATATATGTATACATATATATACATATATACATATATATATATATATATATATATATGTATATATATATACGTGTGTGCGTGTTGCTCTCGAGTAAAAGGGATAGAGATGTGAGCGAAGAAGGGTCGTAGATGGTATGCATTTTGCATTCGCGCGTAACGTGTGACAGTGTACGTGGTTGATCTACAATTAAACGAATCCTACACACTTACTCGTTAATCGGCAGAATAATATGCATTTCTCTTAATTTTTTTTCGCTATAAGTATATGTAACCGTCCGAAAGCGTGTCAGTCGGCGCACCGTGATTGATTCGCCGTCGCTCTCGCCGATCTTCCAGTCGATCTGTTTCGAATATCCCGAATGCATATCGATTCTTATTTTTGTACATCTTTACGAGCAGACTATAATGGTTTTCTTTTTTAATGAAAAGTTTTCATCGATATGTTGCGATAAAATTCAATTATCTTTGTGCTTTATAGTATAAAGGTGAATTGATTTATTCTTTTTTCGCGAATGTAAAATAAAACTATTACAAGAGTCAGAAAATAAATAATATCAAGCGTTAAAATATATCAATAACAATAATTGATCATATGTGAAATTAATTTAAAACAATTTATATCTCTATATCTACGTAAATATTTAATACTATACATAAAAATCTTTGTTTTCTCGTCTATTTCTAGAAAATAAATAACATACTAGTAGAAATAATAAAAAACATCATTCTGATAAATATTAATTATTTATAAGAATAATTCTGAATAAATGAAGCTTTCTTTCTCTGATGTTTAGACTTTTATTTCTCGTCTAATTAACCACTGTTAATTATATGTAAAGCTCGTACTAGAATAAAAATTGCATATGCATTCGGGAGTTACTTCTCTCACTTGTCTAGGTATGATCTTATTCGCATTTATCGTAATAATCGTAATTAGGAGATTGCGCAATTATGATTTTACCTTAATCTAAAACTATTTTAAATATGTTTCGCTTTTGTAACAAACTCCGTTTTAGAGACAATTATAAAAAGAGACAATACATATTGCTCATTTATCTTGATAGAAGACTACGATTATTTTTCAGAACTCGCGAAAATCATTTAAGAAACATCATCAAGTTTTAACACATTATTACTAATTATAAGACAAAATTGTAAAAAACAAAAATATAAGAAGTATTTAAATATCAAGTATTGAAAAATCAGATAAAAAATTTTGTATTAACGTTTTCAAAAATTTGAAAAAGACCAGAAAACTTTGGAAAAAACCAAACAATCTGATAGATGCAAAAAAAAAAGAAAACAAAAGTAAATCTTATTTTCAAAATTAGTATCTAACGTTTTTAAAAATTTAACAGACATAAAATAATGAAAAAATATTAACATTCTATTAATGTATTATACTAGATGAGCAGTTTTCTGATATTCTCATCAATATTATGTATATATTAAACTGGTATATAAAATTTCTGTCAACATATTAACAAATAAACAATGCTCTATCCGATAATTATCAAATGCATATGCAAAAAATGCAAGTTGTCGTTTCAAGCTGAGTGAATAGTTCCTTCAATACATACGATTACTGATCCAGTATATATTAAAACTCAAATAAAGGAAAAATATATACAGGGTGTCCTTTACAATTAGTGTGAAATCTCTTGTAGGCAAGTAGAAGAAGTAAAACTGAGTCGAAAAGTCCTGAACCATTTTTTTCTAGTACATATAATAAAGAAGTAATTATTGAGTAAATCAAGCCAATCAGCGCCAACCTTTAGCCGGGCGCACGTCAGTGAGCCGCGCGGAGCGCTTACGCACAAAAGGCGCGTGGTTCACTGACGTGCGTTTGGCTAAAGGTCGGCGCCAATTGGCTTGATTTATTCAATAATTACTCCTTTATTATATGTAATAAAAAAAAATGGTTCAGGACTTTTTGACTCAGTTTTACTCCTTCTACTTACCTACGAAAGATGGTAAAGTAATTGTCGGACACCATGTATATACATATATATATATATATAGACACACACATATATATACACACATGAAAAGTATATATATATAAACAATATATACATATACATACATATACATTTGTGCATATATGTGTGTGTGTATATATATACATATATGTGTATGAACAAAAACCGAAGTGGAATGAACCTACTATAATACATTTCTAACACTTCGCGACCGCTCTGCAACTGCAAATTGCGCAGTTTTAACACAGATACTTTTAACCTATTAAAGATCTCAATTATTACATTCGTATAATGTATATTCTTTTTTTACATTAAAAAATTACAACATATCATTTACAAAAATAAGTGAAACATATTTAAAAGCAAAAATCATACATTGTACAAAATGTAGGAAGAAAATTGAGACAATAATAGGCTAAACTGGTGTAATAACTGTTAGAGACTATCACCCCTAAACAGTATAAGCTATCTTACTTATGTAACAACATAAGAGGACGCTGCATAGATTACAATAATACAATACACCTATGTGTACAAAAAAAATCAAAATAAAAAATGTACATAAAAGAAAAGAAATAAAAACTGCCCGTGGAATCTAAGTGCGGAAATTAGATTTTATTTTCATTTATATTAAATTTTATATAAATACAAACAAATAATATAGCGCTATAAAGTTTTCTGTAACGTTTTCTGTAGTTAAAAACGGTCCTATCAGACCCCGCTTATACCGTTTAGAGTTTACATATTAATTAGCTGCAATAATCATATAAACATACATATATATATATATATATATATATACATATATATACATATATATATATACACATATATATAAACATATATATATATAAAATTCGCGCGGAACAACTTCACCATATTATACAATGAAACAAACGACGGTATTCGCACGTCATCACTACAAAGATTTAAAATAAAACTGCTGCATTTCTACGCGAGCTACGTACGTACCTTTAAAAGTAACAAAGACCTTAAATAACGCGTTCTATAACAAGTTAGAAATATTTATAACAAGAGGGAAAATACACAACGTACAAATTTTAATATTTCTACTTTACCCTTGACAACGCGCCGATGTAACTATAGTGTGAAAACTCGATGGCGTACGAATACTTTTTTCTTTCTTTATATATCATCCTGCATGTTTTCTTAACAACATAATTTTATATCTTATACTTTTATTACTTAGTAACGCGACGCAAAAGCGTACGAATACTTTTTTTTTAATCAGTCACCTAACGACAATTTTTATCTAAAAAATACACGGGCGGTCGCGAAAATGTCTCGACAAACAAAATAGTAGAGCTCGTTAGATCTTCCTTCTGATTTCTCCGCCCTAATTTTCGATCAAGGATCGACGACAGCGAGGAAAGCCGGTGACGGTGCGTATAAACGCTTCGAGAGGGTGTCTCAGCGCGCGACGACGGGCTATTGTATCTATGTTTTTTTTCTTTCTTATTTTTCATCCATAAGAACGGATTTTTTTTTTTACGTATAAAGAGACGCATCATACAGTGCCGTACAGTACCAAAAAAATTGTTTTTTTTTGTTTTTTTTTTTGTTTTTTTTTTTTTTAATGCGCGCGCACAATGCGATCAATTAGTTCTATCTACGCCATCCGTGAAAGTTTGCATTCGCGCGTTAATTCGAATTACACTTTTCTCTCGCTCTCACGTTCATTCTCTCGTTCTTTCTCTCTTTCACACCCTTTCTCTGTCCTTTGTCTGTCTATCTGTGTGTGTGTATGTTTGTACGTGTGTGTATATGTGTAGATCGTGAGTGTCGTCTGGTATGTGTCACGTCAGACCCAACCGGGGTGGTTCAGGAACGAAATTTCTCGATTATAACATTTATCCACGTACTTTGTCATCAATCGTAAGGACCGTCGAACCTCGATCGTTCCGCCGCAATATATTCTCATATATATATATATATATATATAGCGTTTATTATATATATTTATTTTTATATATTTATATATATTTATTTATATGTATGTATTTATGCTAAAGTAGCTCAGAACTATACTTGAATCACTACTCGAAGTCGCGACGGCGCCGAAACACGTGACCGCTACCGATGTTTTGTAAAAAGAACACGTACGCGCCAAATATTCTTTGAAATTGAAAAAAAATTTCCTGCATTTTTTGAGTGAATGTAACAATTCGTTAATATATGACAGCACAGTTAGATAGAAAACTTTATTTTAAATAGAAGACGATGTTTTATATTATATATATATACAAATATGTATGTATATAATACAAAACATCGACAAAACAGACATATGTATACATACTTGTAATCGCGTTCCCTTTACGGCAAATTCGTGTGTATAATTTTATTGAATTGAATATTTGGCGAATAAACGCGTCCCGTTTTAATTGTACGAGCGAGAAGAGGAAGCTGCTTGTCTCACAGCTCGTACAATCTAATTAATAACATTGACAAAGACATTTTTGCGCTTAATTTATCACCAGAGACAAGAATTTTGTCATTAATCTTCATTAAAAATTGTAATTTTAAATTTTAATAAATAAATAACCACAGAAAGAGGAAAGAAAAGAGAGACGATTAAAAGTTAAGAAGAAAAAAATTAAAAGAAAAAAATCGTGATAAAGACGTCTCCGTTCCCGTCATTATCGCGTCTAATTACGTCAACTTCGGCGCGACGTCACGGTTCCTCGCCCTCTGCAATAAGCTCTACCCTTCGTCAACGCTATTCGCTGGGTTCGCTTCCCTCGTATGCTCGACGACGCGATAATATCGGTTTCTATGTCGCGCGGGGGCGGCCCGATCGAGATTCTCTATCACGTGTGAGTAACGCCAGTCCCTCGATTATAATATTATATTATTTACGTCGTTCCCGGATCGTCCTGGCGGGATCCCCCCGGTTAATCATTCTTCTCTCGTTCTCTCCTCCCTCCCTATTGGTTTTCTTTTTTTAGGTAATACAATATATACTTTGTGTGTGTATACATATATATACACATATACATATGTACATGTATATATATATACATATTGTAACAACCGATATCTCTCTCTCGCAGTTCTCTCTCCCTCTCCCTCTACTTTGTATTCGTATGAATTCTTTTTTGTCGTTTCTCGCTCGCACACAAGCAAACATACTCGCGCTCATTCATTTTTTTACACGCATACTCGCGAAGTTTTTCTTTTTCTCCGTCTATATAATATAATCTTATAACGAGAAACGCACGCGTATGCGTATACATCCTTGCGTCTCGATCAGACGTGGTCGCCCGCGCGCTCGCGCGCGCGTATATATACACATACACACGCATATATATTTATATTTATAGTTTATATTTATATATATCTTCTGTATATATATATATACTTTATGTTGTTTTTTGTATGTATACTTTATATATAACAAAGTTATTTAAGGCCCAATACGTTCATATTACGAAGGAAATAATCTGCAACAGAAAGGAGAGACGAACATACGGTTAAACAACGCTTGTATCTGCTTTGCTCCCTGTCGTAAGCACCGTATGAGTATAGAACTATTCAGTCGACAAGTTGTATTTTTTTTTTTTTTTTTTGTGTTTCCTGACGTTGTCAACGTCATCGTCGTCATCGTCGTGAAGAATGCACGTGAGATGATCGCGACCTCGCCGGACGTCGGTACACGATCTGCGCGATCGGATAAAGTGCCGAAATCAATCTCTTGTGATCGATCTTAACATTCCGTTAAATTGAGTTTCGGGAATTAAAAATCGATCAGAATCCCGAACTTGAGAACGTATTTTTCACCGAGGTTCACAAAATTTAAAAAACAAGATAGGATTTTTATTTTTTATAACCTCTTTTAACATTTTTTTCGGAGAACAAAATTGGAACATTTTTATCTCAAATAAGGTTTTAATTTTTTCTTGCTATGCAAATGATCTACGAAGAAATCGTCAAACTGGAAGAGAAACACCATTGTATTATAAACTTTTCTCAAGTGACTGTCAACGATTGACGAGACTGTGTACCGGCATTCCAGTCGGAAATCAATGTTTTCTTCTTTTCGCGTGATTCTAGCGTGTTATTTGTCCAGCTTTCCTAGATTTACCTTTAAGCGCACGTTTATCTTGACGTTTCCTAAGAAGAATCATCCGACCAAGGACAGACAACCACTTGGTTGTCTTTCGAGAGAAGCGCCAAATCGATACTTTTTATCTAAGACAGCCTCTTGTGACGCACGTAAAGAATCTATCAACATTTAATTTTTACGTAAGGACCAACGGAGTTGATCGCAAAGAACAATATGCTAAATTTGCACGACACAATATTTTGTCTTACAATATAGGTAAGCATAACAAATTCAATATTTGTGATGTATAATAATTTCTTTAACGCAAGAGAGAAAAGTACAGATCGTCCCAAAGAAACGTGACAGCACAAATGGATAACAATTTGTAAGATAAAAATTATTATTTTTAAGTTGCTTATATCGAGCAATATATATTTGTATGCGTTACGTATTGAATAAACAGGTGGAATAAAATATGTGAGAAAATATTACTTGGAATTAGTTAAATCTGATAATTAAGAAACGAAAATAAACACCTGCTAAAGAGAATTAAAACGATATTGTCATTCTTTTGGGACACTCTGTAAATTTAGAAACCAATTGTGGTAAAATAAACTGTTTGTTTACATTATTACAACAAACATGTTCCACGTAATTTATATATAAATTACATAGTTTTGTGGAAAATTATCTATTATGAGATTATCTATCACATTTCAATTCAAACATAGATGCAAATATAACATTTAAACAGTCAACGTTGGTCATTCGGAATTAAAATTGGGGCTAGAGTATAACAACGAAAAGAAATTAGTGTTTTACAACAGTGGCTGAAAATCCGAATAAATTCACTTTATCCGTTTGAAATGCAGACCACCTGATGATAGATTAATTCCAAATGAATATTATGGAAGATAAATCAGATTTAAAGTTAAAATATTTTAGAATTTCAAAATAAAGCCGTCCAAAATAGTGAATAAACTTTTTTTTTTAGAAAGTTCGGGAGAGATTTTATGTGAGCAAACAGATTAATATCAATAAACTCTATTGATAAAAATGAAAATTAACATCAATGAACTATTTTTGTTATTACAAATCTAATTCAACCTCCGAATATATATTCATTCATCAGTATTATTTCTCGTTCAGGATGTCCAGACAATACTTCACAAAATCTAACATTAGCGGGAAAATTGTAATTATGAAAATTTGTCAATGCTATTATATTTATTTCTCTCTCTTTCTCTCTCACTCTCTCATGTGCGAAAATTTGAGACAAAAGTTTATATTTTTATCATTGTTTTGGACAAATTAGACAATCAAGGACGTATCCAAAAGAGAAATAGAGCTGGTTTACTTTATTGTTGATAACCGTATAAAGCATATTTACAAATTATATCTCTCTAGAGATTTTATCAGTTTTAACTCCTTTAAAGCGTATCGAATTCTCTCTCAGTCGAATTGCTCAGACTACTCTTCATATAAACTATAAACTATTCTTATCAATTGTAATAAAATATTACAGTATATTTTGTATTTATTTTCATAAAACGCACATCTGTGAGAGAATGTGGATTCGCTTAAAACATTTTTTCTCAATATTTCTTAGAGCGTTAATTCTTATTAGAATAGTTGAGTAATTAAAGAGTTAAAACTGGTGTGCCAATTGTCGTTCACTGTGTCGTATTTATCGCACAAATTAGAATATACAAAAAATTTGACCACAACATAAGAGAATCAAAAGTTATTCTTACTAATTTTGTACAGAGTTGCTTTGTTATCCCTATTTTTTGTTTTAATGAAAAAATATAACAATGCACACAACTCCCGAACATTCGATACAGTGGTACTCGGACAAGCGATTTTGCAACATGTCAAATGGCCGTTTGCGCGCGATAAAATACTTTTTTTTAAAAACAACTCGCTTATACGCTAACTCGTTGTCGATTGTAAAAACATATATTTTGCTGATAATATATTAACTGTTTTTTGTTTTGTATGATACATAAAATAATTAAAATAATATATAAACTAATAGACGTAAAATAATAGATTTATAAATTTGCCACATCTTTCATATCATGTATATTTAATCAGTAATTTTTTTTAATCATGCCTTTTTTATATACGTTAATGTATTTATATTTGATTAGTACTTTTTCTTATCGATCAATAAATAAGATAATGTGGAAATAATTGAATACGTTTCGAGAAATGAAAATTTTTCTTTCTAAATACAAGAGTCTGCTTGCACTATTTTATATATTACAGCACACATATTTAAAAGTTTAATTAAAAAGAATAAAAAAGATAAAAGATCAAAACATAATAAAAAATTTAAAAGATCCAAATATTTCTCACTATGTAAAGCTTTAATTTATACTATATAAAAACGTGATAGACATAAATGTACATATTTATTTCTGCAACGGAAATTATTCTTTAAAATTATAAAATATAATAAAGAGAAGAATACAGCAATATTTGAACGTAAGAAATAGAAAAAAAACATATTACATTTATAAATACAAGAATATATAACTGACAACAAAAATAAAAATAACAGTAATCAAATTATTGATATAACAAAGATAAAGAAGATAGCTTAAAGTGTTATTATAAGACCAAGAAATCAATATTTTCAATATTATTGATGGACAACTAAATATTAGGTTATTCGATACGAGTTATTTGTATATAAGCCAATATACAAGCCGGATGTACGTGTAATCATATATATATAGAGAGATTCGAATTCAATTCAATTCAAAAAATCATTAAACATGCACGGTTTACAAGCATCTTTATCTATGTAAAAATACTTTCATGTCTCATATATGAAAATACTCAATTTATCCTTCTATGAAATTAAAAAATTCCATTGGAAAAGACACTAGTCAGATTATTGATGGAATTCGCCAACTGGATCTTAGTAACAAAATCCATGTTGTGAAAATTAGTATTAAATTTTCTTGTTCAAAAGACTCAAGCATGGGCAAGTCAACAAGACGATTCAACAACTTGAAGAGAAAAAGAACATCAGAAAACTGCGCTTCTTAAGAGTTTGAAGTTTTGACCGAGATAAAATAAGTGAATAGTCATCAGATCTAATCCGCTTCACACCGAGACCAATTTTAAATAAGATAAATCTAAAATTTCTATATATAGTAATTTTTATTATTAAAAAATTTTAAATCAGATAAATCTAAAATTTCTATATATAGTACTTTATGATAGTTTGCCATGTCATGCCATGTTAAATTGTATTAGATTGTTTCTAATGATTTCATCTTCAGTAAAAATTATATCGAACACGATTACGAATTTCAAGCATCAGTCGACATTGGTATTCGCCTCTCCGAGCACCCTTGCTCAATATACACACACATAAATCGTCTTAAAAATACTGGTTTTATCAGCGCAAATCTCCGATCCGGAGATTCGCAAGGTCGGGCATGTAACAAAAACGATAACGTAACACAAACAACTGACGTGATTCGCGCGTTGCCCTCGCTCCATTATTTTCAACACAGGCAACGTAATCGCGTCCGATCGCTTCACGACGAGACAGATCGTCGGCGCGATCGATCCGCCGACGGCGTTTTTGTCATCATCTTGCTCTTCGTCATCGAGATCTTTCGTATCCGAGTTGGCTCGCGGATTCTTCCTAGTAAGCGTCGTCAACTTCCGGTGCCCGATGCCACGAGATCGTCGATTATTTCTCTCTCTTCCGGGACGGTCGGACTCACCGAACAAAGTTCGCGACGCTGATCGCGTTCCTTGTCCGCTCGGCAGCGCCGGGACAACGCTCCGCGTCATGTCACATGTCGGAGCGATTCAGCTGTCGACGCTGAACAGCTCCTTATGGAGGGCCGGAAACTCGAGATGCGGTTGCGACCGCTTGAACTTTGCCAGCGCGTCCATATGCAGCGATGAGATATCGCGTAGCTGCGGTATTTTCGCAAGAATCGCGTCGCACACGGTCACGTCGCCCTTGATTGGAGTCATGTGGTTCCGATCGAGTTCCGATCTCAGTGCCCTTATCACCGCCTGTGACAGCCTGTTGATGTCGCCCAGGCACTTCAGTCCGGGTCGATCTGTGAGTTTCATCCCCATTTAATAAATCATACTGTGTCAATAAGTTAAAATATAATAACGATAAAACAAATATTTAATATATAATTATTAGCATATACGTACACACAATATATATATATATGCAATTCTTCAATAAAAACATGTCCTTTTAATTTTATAAAATTGTATAAACAAACCACTCTATGATAGATAACATGAATGTATATATTTGTACATTATGGTCAAAACACGGGCGATCCTAAGATTGACTGGTCAGTGCGCAAAACAACCAAGCGTCTTGGTCAAAGCCCGAAATAGTTTTTTTTTTTACCGTACTTTTCAATGTACGCTACTATCGCAAGACATTCTAAATTAGGTTGGGTTAGGGTTTTACGGAGAGGGGACGCAGAGGGAGAGGCGGAGTTTCTCTCCCGCCTACACGTGATACGATATAGTATATGATACAAACGAAATATTTTATACGTCTCAAATGTTCATTCGGGCTTTGACTAAGACAACACTCGCTTGTCCCGCGCATTGACCAGTTCTATCTAGAAACGCCCGTACTTCGAGCTTTGATCATAACATATATACATATGTGTATATATTTTTTACTATTATTTCAGCGAGTATATCTTGTCACACTAAAATTGTAAAGCGCTTAATAGTCTGCCACAAGATTTTATTAAATAATTTGAGATAATTCTGTGTATCTTAAAGTTTTTAATGAGCGTGAGTTTGTTTACACTCACCAGGACTAAGTAGAACAACCGCGCTATAGAGCGCCAACTCGGTTTCGGTGAGCTTCAGTTCAGCGATGCTTCTGGCCAGCTCGAACACGCAGGAAACAAGCTTCATTTCCGCCGTATCCGTCGTGTAAAATGCCTCCTGCGGCAGCAAGGTGTCGCCATACAGGACGCAATTTTGCTGGAGATCGAGATACCTGCTCATTCGTAGCACAGCCAACTCGAAGGAACCTGTTACAATTTAAAATGAATATTAGCATATATATTTTTTCTAATTAATTTTTTTCTATTGTACATTCTACTCGACTTTATTTTTTCGGAACTTTAACGAAATCTTTCTTGTTTTAATAAAATAAAAGAGTAACGTAATTAACATAGTTACAAAATATTATTTCTATTACTTTCTACATTTAGTTGTTTAAGACAACCAATGAATTTTTAATAAATTTTCGTTAATTTATTTCAAATAAAATAAATATAATGTGTATTAGAAAAATTTAGAGATAACGTTATTGAGTCAAATAATTATAATGAAGGATAAAATTTAATTACTTACCCGTCGTATATTTTAGAATTAAAGAGAAGATAATTGAAGTCATAAAAATTTACAACGCACTGAATTATGCGGAAAAAATCCTTTTTCGAGAAAATCGTAAGTGTGTATAGAAGAAAATGCAATTACATACCGGCCTTTAATAATACGATCTGGTCGTCCTGCGAAAGTTTCATGAATCCAGGGACCATTTTGGCGAATTCGATGATCTGTTGAATGACGGTGGTTAACTTCTGAGCGCACTCGAGCCAGAGCTCCTCGTGTCCCATGTTCTTATAGTAGATCATTCTGGACAAATCGGTGGACTTTCGGAAAGCCTCCTGGATCTCTTCCGTCGATACCAGACACGTTCTTGCGTGCGCGTCCGCTATCGTTTTCGAGAGAAGCTCGCTGATCTGTGCCGGATCTGTAAAAGTTTGGCGGATTTCCCGCTCGTATTCCTTTCGTGATATATAGACGCGATATAAAAAAAATCAACTATATATATATACATATTATATGTAAAATACGAAAGAAGTTATTCAAAAACAAAGATATTAAATACATTTCAAGCGCTAGCATTGAAATATATGTATTCATCTCTCTTTGTTCAACACAAATTATCTTTATGGAATCACTACTAAAATTTATGTGTAAATTATAGATTCAAAACTAGAAATAGACAAAGTATACATAAAGCGGAAAAAAATGGTTCATTCTGTAGTGTTAGGATTTTTGATTTAAAAAAAATTCCAGGTATTCCAGCTCATTTTTATTTATGCTTTGTATACGCACGAAATAAAATCAAAAGCACTTTTGAAAGACAGAAAATCTACCGGCAGATAAATACATGCAAAAGTTATAGATTATATAAAACTTGCAATTTTTTACAAGTACGACATACGAACAACAACAACAAAAAAAACAGAATATGAAAATCACTTTTACGAACTATACGGGGTATTAATAAATTCGCAAATGTGTGCACAAACAAAAGATAAAGGTCAACAAATATAAAAGTTAATAGTTTGTCCGAGGACAGAATCTGCATAAACAAAATAGGAGATTCAGAGGAACGTAATATTTTGCAGCAATATATATACATGTGTAACGAACATTCAAGTTTCTGGAATAAAGCTACAGAGGACCGACGTTTTTATTACGCGCAATATAGTTAAATACGTTAAAACGTTTATAATAATTTTATCGCGTCGGCAAAAAAGGTATAGATAGTGTCGTACCTCGTAACATAAAAGAGCAAGTAATTACCATTTTTGAGTAACTTTATGAATTTTTCATGAGGCTGCACTAGTTTCCATGTTGATTAATGGATTTTGCTGGTAAAAATCGTATTTCTCTCTTCGAGATTTCATCATACAACATAATACAATTTACCCTATTATTATCTCAAATTATTATTTTAAGATAATATTTTATGTGTTATATGCGTGTTATGTATGTTTTAGTACATAATTTTAAAATGATTAAATCCTCTCTCTCTCTCATTTCCTCTCTTTCTCTCTCTCTCTCTCTCTTTCTCTCAAGAAACGTACTTTTAAATTATATATCTAAATAAATGTGCTGTACACAACTGAAATCTTCTGTCAGAGTCACACATTTATTATTCAAAAATAAAATTAAAATATTGAAAAAATTGAATAATTAAATTCGTCTACGCTCTTTTGTCGTTTCCTCAACTCTATCGGTTCTCGGGAGCTGTTCTGCAAGAAACGAGTAAGCGAGTGCTGTACAAGCGAGTGAAAGAGGGGAGCGGACCACACATGCTCATGCAAAGGAAACACAAACGTAACCTCACATATCGCATGTGACATACTGGGCAGACTCGGCACTTCGTCGTCCTCAGATGGGTTGCTGACCCTCTGTTGCTGACCGCTCAGAAAGGTCGTCGAGTCGACCATGGTGTATGATCCGTGGCCTAAAGCGGCGAGTTCGACAGCGTTTTCCTGCTTTACGGCGACGATTCCGCCACCACTTAGCGAACCGCTGCCTCCGCTCCCGCCTCCACCCCCGGCGGCGCCGGCGGCGGCCGCGGCGGAACCGCCACTGCCAACACCACCTCCGCTGCTGCCGCCGCCGCTGCCATTACCACAACCGTTACCACCACCTACGTTCCCACCACCACTATTACCGCTGCCACTGCCGGTACCGCTACCACCCCCTGAGCTGCTCCCGGTTGTAGAAGCGGACAGAGATTTTCCTGATGTGTCGAAAAATCAAAGTTAAGGATGCAATTTTTTGGGATCAGACTTGCATGCTAAATATTTCATTCTTATATACGAAATATTTCTAGAGGAACAAGATAAAACTCTTTTTCGCAATTTTCCTCGAATGAAAATATAATAAAGCGTAGGCAGAAACGTAGATGCGTGTACAACACACGTTACGAAATAATTCCAGAGATAATATCTTCCCCGTGTTCCGAAAAACCGAAAATCCTCTCGTGTGGAATTACTGAATAAGAGAGGAAGATGTCATTTCTATGAAGAAGATATTCGCGTCAATCATTTTTTTTCTTAAGAAACATTTCGTTCGAAAAATTACGATTTCTACGCTCCGTAACTTTCGGAATTAGTCCGCTAGATCGTGCTCCAGTAATTATTAAAAGATAATTGGATGTAAAACCTTTTTATTAATTAATGGTTTCTCGGAACGCTTTGTAAAATGAACGTGAACTTCGTTCTATATGCACTATTGAACTGGGTTTAAGCTATTATCAAAGCGTATAGCTTCACATAATGCCTCGCTCTTAAAATGAGATTTAACAACTCGAAAGATAAGTACAATAATTGTATGTGTCATTCGGAATGGGATTCCACATTACGTTTACCGTTACGGTAATGTTTATCTCCAACAGAGACCTACAGACTCTCATTCTATTTTACAACAACAACTATTACACTCACGCACACGTAGAGAAAAGTTTGCATTCGTACTTGATAATAAATGTTTTTGTTTAAATTGTAGAAAGTAACAAAACTTGTAAACTTTATACGCACACACACATACATAGGCTACGTCGGAAAGCGCGCTATCTGCGTTATTGCGTCATTTTATCTTTTTTCTTTATTAGATGTAAAAGATAAAATGATTGATAGAATGACGCAATAGCGCAAATAAACGCGCTCTCCAAACGCAGCCGTATAACGTATGTATACTATTCAAAATTATATTACTAATTAAACAATGTTTTTTTGCAAACTTTTTCAAACACAATGTTTTTTTTATTTATGTTTTTTTTATTCTTGACGATTGTTGTTTAACTAGAAAAATATTGTTTTTTCCCGATTTTTGTCCCACTTAAAAACAAATCGCGGATTAAGTATTTGTTTTTATGTTTTTTTGAACAAATATTTTATTGGATAACTAGTGATAAACATTGTTGTTGTATCAGCCAATGTGGTGGCGCGTCATTGATCCACTTCGTTTCTTCGGAAAATTTTGCTTTCGTGTGTTCCAGTCAAACTTAAACTTAATCTCAGTAGAAACGATATATCACAATTCTTGTGAAATAAATCTAAAGACGAGCATTTATAAACGCATATCGAAACTCGAGACTCTTTCTCACGTAAATATCGTGTGGTAACGTTGGTGTACTCTTTTACTACTAATAAAACTTAAATACAAAAGAACTCGAAGTGAAGTTTATGTCGATATTGCAGAAATGGTACGCAATGAAATACGCGAAATATTTGTGATATTGCCTGAGAAATCATTATCGATGACAAGGACGTGGGATAGAAGGGAGTCTGGGTGACATTAAAGACGCGAACGCAATTAACTGCTGGGTTAATGACAGTGCTCCGGAATGCATTTAGCGTGCCAGTTACGAAGCGAGAACTTAACAGTCGCGCCCACAAAATTACAATCCTGCAATATAGCGCGCATTTATTAAAATGATCTCTGGTGCAATATGCACGCGCTCCGGAAGCAATTTTGTTCTTTAATTTCTTCGAAAAACCTGACTACAAAAATGAAGTAGAAGTTTAAAAGAAACTCATCTCCGAAACGTTGTGTGCGTTTTATTTTGCACAAGTTTGTTTTTTTTATTGATTACCGAAGAGGAATTCAAAAATGGTCGACACATATGAATTTTTTGTAAAAATAATAAAAGTTTATATTGGTTTTATTATATCATCGTAGGGCTCCATATGGCCTGATCCCTTTCTATTATTAGAAATGATGTAAACACGATATTATTAATATTAAAAAAAAATTATCGTGCCGTACTTTCATCTACGGACAATGCGAAAATTAGTTTGCAGTTCTAGAATTATGCTTATTTTTTTCGAGGATTAAATATTTTTGTTAAATTAGATGCAGCAAAAATACGAAAGCCTATTTATTATTCTTTACTTAAATGAAATTTCAGCTGATGTTGCTTTTTGAAATAATGTCAAATTAAGTGTCTCTCAATTACGAAGATATTTGATGAGAGAAAATTTCGCACAGTTGTGAAAAAACAAATGTTCAAATTTACATTAGGAAAAAATATCGTTTGAGTTGCACGCAAAGTATTTTCTTCATTTCTCGTAATTTTCCTCGTTAAATATCCTTGTAACCGAAATGCAATTTAAGATTCTCCTCTGTGAAGTAAAGTTTCTTCTGAAATCCAGTCGAAGAACAAACAGACTTATCTTTAGTATTCATGAAATTTAATTTAACAAGATCTTTTAATCCGCAACCTCTCGGTAACTTCAACAACGCATTAATACCGAAATAGATCTCGTTTTTTTTTCTTTTCTATATAATTCTTTATTCCTTGTAAATTATCGAAAATAACGAGAATTCCGAGAAACTTGTACATCTTAAACTACCAAAGAAGTTTTAATCTCTCGACAATAAAATATTCTTCCAACTTTATTATAAAAATTATCTCTCTTTCCACATTATTTGTTCTAATATGTATACATATACGAGAGAATGGTATATCTTTATATAAAAAAATAATATGTTTCTTATCGTTGTGTTCGACGTCCGCGGCGTGATAAAATGATAAAATGGCTAATGGATTCGCGTGTCTCGGGAATAGCGAATATGGAACATTACTTACCGGTGGTGACCACGCTGGGTAACACGCCGGTCGCGGTGACAGCCGAGGGTGTATCGGGAGCGACGGTGTCCGCGACTTGCGTTTGCGTCGGCCGGGGATCGTAGGTTGTCGTGCTGTCGACGTAGTCGGCGCTAAGCTCGTAATTCGTCATCGCTTGATGATTATAATTCGTGTAGCCGCCGGTGCCGGGACCTGACGACGTGTATTCGTTACCGCCGTACGGGTACCTGCGAGAATAACGGATGCTGATAGATAGAGACTGATTGTTGTACTTATTCATTCCTCTCTCTTCTCTCAAGATTACAATTTCTTACACTATTATCTTTATTTCGTGTCTTCATACTCTTTCACAAGAACAATTTTTGAAATTTTTTAACTCCGAATCGTCGACAAATAAGATAACGAAATTCGAACTTGTTATAGTTTTTCCGTCTCTTACAAACGGATACCGAAAGAAATGTGTATTCTCTCTTGTTTGAGAATTTTGCTAAGAAAGAATATAAGGAATGTATCCTTCTTATATCTTAAGAAAAACTTACTAATCTTTCCTACTCTAAGATTTCTTTTTTAAAACAAGAAAATCTCTTGTGGCAAAATCGTTAAAACGAGATCAGTATCAACTTTGTTCAGATTACGCGGCGGATTTGCACGTGTCTTCAACGAAAAGAGCGAAGGTTAATGACAAAAAAGACGTGATGTAAACAATTTTTTTCATATTTATATTTATATATTGCAATAACAGTTATATTAAGTTAAGTTTTGCATAAATTAGACATTAGAAAGAGAAATTTAAATTAGAAAATAAAAAACTCGCGAAACGAAAGTTTCGAGAAGTAACCTATATTTAATAAACTGCAGAACGCTTCGAAACGCATCAAAGTTTATTTAACGCGTTTTCCTCTATTTTAATATAAATTTCTGATGGTAGTTACCCGCCATTATAAGGGTGATGTTGATCCGAACTGCTCGGCGTTTGATGCTCGAACACGCTGCTGTCCGGCGCCGTTTCCGAAGCCGCCCTCATTTGCGCCCGATGAAATCTGACTTCATCCTCGACCTTCTCCCGTTGTTTTTTCGACATGCGCCCAAATTTAACAGCTACGAACAAACAAAACATATTTATAATAATATCGAGATTCATATCAAACATCTCATTAAGATGAAAAATAAACAAATTACCGATGACTTTATCATTTCGATAACTCGACAAGTAAAACAGATTGTACAATGCATATTATATTGAGGTTTTTTTTTAGAGAAATTGTAAATTTTCTGAATAAAGTTTACAAAAGTAGAATTACAAAACTTTTTTTGCAAACGCGCAGATAACTATTGTGTCTTTAACACAAAATTTACTCTTTCGATGCATTTTTTTCGCAGAGTTATAAAACACCTATATTACACACAACATTTTTTATCACAACCTTGTGAATATCGATTCTTATTTTACCTGCACTTAATACACTAAGTTATACGGTGACATAAAGATTTCATTGTAATTCCGCGCAATTTTCAGGTAAGGCGGAGTATGCATAATCGAACAGAATCAAATGCTTTGATTGGAATCAGCTATTGTTTCTTTCTCCTTCATTTTTATGAATTCGTTATCGATAATTACAAACAATCATAGAGATCAGATATAGGAGGGACCGTCGAAACACAACTGTTTGTCATCGTCGTCGCGAGGCGATAAAATCTAACGGGTGTTCCGCGGATCGATCGAGATCGAGTCGCATGCGATTCTCTCCTCCTACTATAGACCGGTCCCTTCCTCGCTTGTAAAGAAGGCTCGGCAAGGAACGCGGAAGAACCTCGGCCGCGTCCTCCTCATCTTCTTCGACACTATCATCGTCTGGTCGCGACGCACCCACTCGGTGACATCACGCGCGCGAACTGCAGTTCGAAAAACAATATGCTCTACTCAGGGTGGTCATATTTTACTCGAGTGACTACGTTAAAATGCCATATTTAACAACAAAATGTTAAAATAAATTAATTGCCGCTTTGAAAAAAATTAAAAATCATTGTCCAAAGTAAGCTACAAAATGAAACAAAATATCTTGCCTAATGTTAGTTTGTTATACATATCTCTTTAGTGTTTATACACACAATTGTATATATATATATTGTACGAGAAATTTTATTTTATGGAATTGTTACGAGAACGCTTGCAACAATTTTTCACGTATAATCAATCATAAAATGTCTCATTATTATTCCGCATACTCTGATAAAAGCGATTTTAATATACATCTTCAGATTTTTTCAATGACACTGGCGTTATTTCTTTCGCTCTCTTTCTCTCTCTCTCTCTTTTGTGTAAGTATTTCAAGATAATCACGTGTCAACGTTGAAGACTTTAATTTTTTTATTAGAGAAGTTTGCATTTAATTTTAAAACCTAAAATTGACAAAATAGTTTAAAATATTCTTTTTAAAACTAAAGTTTTAATTTTGAAAATAGATTTTTCTACATTGACCTGGTTTAATTTTTCATTCCAAATATAACGAACATTCAAGAAATATCCGACAAAAAGTATGTCACAAGAGCATAAATTAATTATAAAAAGAAGATAAAACATTAATTTTTCAAAATACGAAATTTTCACTTACGATCTTTATTTCGACTTACAAAATTAAACTGCTTTAAATGAAAATAATTTTTAGAGTTCTTTATAATTACCTCATCTCGCAAAGCTGCTGCAAATGTACGATAACGTCGACTTATGCTATTTTTTCGATTTTCAATTACGTAACTAACAAATGATAAAAGAGAGCGAGAAAAAGAGAGAGAAAGAGAGACAGAGAGAGATTTCGACTATTCTGACTGCGATTATTAATACATTCTCGTCGATTTATCGGTATCTGTGTGCAGTTACGCGCGTGCGTGTCACGAGGGTGGTCGTGAGAAGGGTTCCGAACGACGTGCGCGGGGATGATAAGGGAGACAGCGACGTCAGCGGCTAACCGAACAGCTATCATACGGAGGCACGGCGTGGAGAAGAGGGAGGAAGCGGAGGGTGATCGACCGAACGCGGATAAAGCGCGAACGAGAAAATGAGATGGGGGAAGAAAAGGAAGGAGAGAGAGACGGAGACGGCAACAGGAAGAGTATGCACCTACCGGTAGCTTACGATGCACTTTCTGGCATTCTGTATGCGCGCGCAGTGCAGAAACGATGTATGTATTTGCAGCTTATCGCGACGGAGGGTAAATAAAGCGATAGTGATTCTGAAATGTCGAGATTCCCCATTACCGAATCCCGAGCTTAATCTCTTCAATCCGATGCCTTCTCCGTTTTAAAATAACGTCTGAATTTTTCACATCGCGATTTTGTTTTCATTGTTATAATAAACGAGAGAGAGCGAGATTTTTGCGCAAGCAAATGCAATTTCAGACGCTTCAATAAATACTAACTACAACTGATTGCAATAAAACTTCAAAAACACTTCAAAAAAACTGCAAAGTTTCATTAATTAACGGGTTATCAGGTTTGAAAAATTGCGAATAATACATGTAATTGTTTTTCAACGTTTGGTGAAGAGATATATGCTTTACAATTCGTTATTAGTAAAAACTGCGAATTATGTAACGGCAATTCTGTGAGACTTTAGCACTTTTTGAATAAAAAAAAAAAATATTATAAATATCAAAGTGTTCTAATCTCATTGTGCAACAAATTAGCTTAAATTTTAATATCGTAAATTTTATCACGCAGACAATGCGCTCTGAAATGTTTTTTAATTATCAATAAATGCATATACCGATAACAAAATATTTCATTGTTGAAATTAAAAGCGTGTGACATTTTGTCATTACAATTAGCATTTTTATCGGCAACGTGGATGTCCCTCTTAAATTATACAATCGCTACATTTCATTGATTATCATTTATTGCAAAATAAATAAGTTAATAAGTTTAGCGGACTAGGTTTAATCGTGGATCGCAACACCGGCCACCGCCGACGATGTTATTTGCCAGTAGCCAGATAAAAACGCCATGCTTGATAATTGGCCGCCAAAAAGCAGGAAGTTGCGGTCGACGTCTCCCTCCCTTTTCTCATATAAGCCCGAATATCGTGGTTAAATATCGTCGACCTTTGGGAAGCGACAAACCGTGTTTCTTGTATTTTTTTTTTTTTTTTTTTTTTGATGATAACACGCAAAGTTACTTGTAAAAAAAGAGACAAAATGAAATGATGGAATGCATAAGTAGATTAAAAATGCGCAATAATTATGCATAAATAAAGATATACATACANATATATATATATATATATATATATATATATATATATAGTGTAATATGCGTGTAATAGTTTATAGAGAATAATATTACATAAAAGAAAGAACTAAGAATTATGAATATAAAAAAAAACAAATTATTCGGAGAAAACAAAAGTTTTAAATATATCAATATTCATAAAAGAAAAAATAATTGTCTAAATGTATCAGATTGTCACGAGCCAAGTTATTTGCATTGATAATATATTATCTCCGACCTGTATCCATTTTAATTTTTCAGAAAATAAATACAAAAAATTCACATTATCGAAATATTGAATTTAAAAATCCGAACTAAGAAATTTCGTGTCGTAAGAAAAAACAACAACGTGACCGACATCATTTCAATATTAAAATAAAGAGACTTTGTTCTGTATATATATTTGCGTTACGTCAACCGATTTTTGTCAAAATATTTTGTAAACTGTAACGTCTAATGTAACGACTGCGACGCTTGTAAGATCTTCGAATCGTTGGATTCTGGATTTAGACTCGCGGAAGTAGACACAATCACTGCGTTACAAAAATAGCTGACGCATATAAAATTTATGCCTCACTTCTGCGAGTCACAGATCAGGTTTATTCGCCGATGCAGAGAAGCTCAGCGAGGATCGAAGACCGGAATAAAAAAGTTGCTCGACCTGTGCCGCTATATAGTAGTACACTTCGAACGTATAAAAAAAAACTGATGAATATGATAAGCGCGATCATGTATATTAATTCGCATTGATTCATAAATCTTCGCAGTTATTTAAAAAAAAAAAAAAAAAACTAAAAAATTATCACAAAATATGTATTAAAAGTCTCAATCTCCTCGTGTGAGTCAATGACTAAAAAAAAAAAAAAAAAAAAAAAAAAAAAAACGATAAAAAACGGATCGATAACACGAAGCTTTATTCGGGCTTGAAACCTATCGTTGATCATCAAGTTTCCGACCGGCTTCATCCCGATAGGCTTTGTCCATCCACCTACGAAGCATCTTCCGTCTCTCGATTCGTCTTGACGGCCTTGCCTATTAATATCGCGCTCGCTTTCGAGAATAGGCTTCGGACAGCGTATATACAAACACGGCATTTTAAACGCGCCAAAGACAGTTCATGGCTCGGTTCCGATAAGGTGCAGCGATGGCTCGTCGCGGGGAAAAGAGACGGATTCTGATAAGGGGTCGTACACCCCGACTTGGCACGCGTATAAGCCTCTCTCCGCAATCCGCGCGCGTAAGCCTTCTTCATGTACGCTTCTTCAACTTTTTCATGCAAGAAGATCGATCTCGCGTTACATTACGCAATAACTTGGTATAAAACATTAATTACTTAATTACACCGATTATCTATTATGTTATTTTAATGTTTTCACGTTTTTTATTGTCTTGAAGATCAACAAAAAGAACTAAATAATTAGATCAATTATTTATCGAGATCGTGATGAGAAAATAAATTTGTTTTTTTTTTGCTTATACTTTTTTTGGATATGTAGTGTTTTAACGCTTATAAAAATATTATAATTTTGCGTCGAGCAAATCCGCGGATATGTTTCGCGACTTTTGCATTTTTTCCATCGTTTATTCGTTCATGGTATACATATACTGCATCGCTATCTGCGTCGTGTAAATATCGGACATCAGCACTGTTCACGTATGTCGCAATATCATGTCCGCGCGCGATAGTCCTTCGAACAAAGAAGCTTTTTAAAGCGCTACGAGTGACGCTGCTCTATGTTCCGTTAAAGTTACGTCGCACATAACTTGTCGGGATGATATACCGATTGTGTGTGACTATTATATCTATTACGCGCGTCTCGCTAGACAAATACAAACTTCTAACATTATTCAATCCATAGTTTGCCAATCTACTAAGTGACGTTTCTGACAGACGTTTCTTAAAACTAATTTTTAATTTTTACATGTGCAAAATATGTTGTTAATTTTTGACAATGATATATTATAACGTGAATATAGAAGATTGAACTTTGAAGAAAAGCGCTAAAAATTGTTTGCCTTTTTTTTTTTTTGAAGGATCGCGCAGACAGCAAGACTATACGCGCCTTTCTAAAAGAAGGTGTCGAAAGGTTCGTCGAAAGCACTCACCATCTCTTGACATGCCGAGGCGTAGGCACTTTTGCAACCGACAGTACTGGCACCGGTTTCTGTTTACACGGTCGACCACGCAATTCTTGTTTCGCGGACATTGATAGTTGACGACCGACGACTGCGACCGCCTGAAGAAGCCCTTGCAGCCCTCGCAGGTGATCACGCCATAATGCACGCCACTGCTCTTGTCCCCACACACCTTGCACGGGATTATCTCGATTTGAGCTGCAACCATAAAAAGAAACAAACACCTTACTCTACCAGCTCCAGAACTTCTTATGAAAACTCTCCTCTCCTTTCGCTTTTTATGATCCTTTTTTCCGCGCGAATGTTTCGTTTTTTTTCTCGGAGGATTTTGCAACATCACGAGAGTTTGACGATTGCTCGTGCATGCGCGTCGATTAACTAATAAATAGGTTTAACAATTATATTTACAATTACGCGATCTCTTTCTTTTTCTGTCGTGTTTACTCGAGTAAAGAGATTTTCGTCAAATTATTATTTCGCACAACGATCTCTTGAAACTGTGCGAATCGTAAATTTTAATTTGCGATCGATTCGTTGAGATTCTTATCTAAATTTACTAAATTTTTCTAAATTTTGTTACTTATGATTCTACCTCGTATCGAATTGGCTTGCAGTCTACGATCATCGACGATCGCGCTGCCGGTTCCCGTCGCGGGAGGCTGCGCGAACCTCTCTCTCGATCTCGATCCTTCCGTCGGTTGAGGACTCGTACTGTCCGCGCCCCACGTAGGCCCACCAAATCCTGACGGACGTCTCTCCATTTACGGATCTTTCTTACTGGTCTCATTTACCTGATATCTATTGTAGGAACATCGGCACGATCTTCAAGATTCGCACGCGTGATTGCGATCGGAATCGCTCGTCCGGCGAATGGACGATCGTAATTAGTGTTTTACTTGAATTCACACAATCAAACTTCACTACGCGTTTTCTAGAAAACGTTCTAGGAAAATACATAGCCATTGTTCTCTGTGAAGCATATTGAATAGTTCTCTACTTAACAATAGTTTTGGTAACATTATATTTAAGGAACAATGTAAAAACAGATAGTTTTCAAAATTACATTTATTATTTAATATTTTTTAATATAAACTGTGTATTATAAAATTGATAAACTTTATTTTTCTTATCTATTTTTTCAATAAGAATATTTGTTTGTGAAAAGAAACAAAGTCCATGTTCTAATTTACGATAACTAATAATTCGAGTGCTACAGACGCAAGTTATTATATCTGCTACTATTCTTTGTTTGCTTTCGGCAATGATAATATATATTAGATCACTACGCTATCGCTTAATCTCGTTCAATTTCTAGTAAACACTAGTACAAACTAAATAAGTTGACATACATTGCGTGCCCAAAGTCTAAGAGTAAACTCTTGTTCGATGAAAAAATCGAAAGTTGTGCAATCGCGCAACCTTTGTATTCGTCAAACGCTACATTCGCAGAACTTAAAATTATTAAACTTACGTTAAAATTACTTTAATCTTAAAAATTCTTAGATCTGAATTATAATATTTTCAGTCTTTTAGAAGTACTCGGGTTTTCTTCTTGTGTTTTTAATAAATCGTTGTGTCGCTCAAGGTTAAAAAAACTCGGAAACCAAGAACACGCTCCTCATTCATTCTCTTTTTTCTCTGAAATTAGGCGGACCATGTTTTCGTAGGCGAAAACTCGTGTCGGGAAATGAAAGGGACCCGACGTGTCAGAAAAAGCTTGACGCAGAGGCTGCGTCGTCGCAGGGCGCGAGCTGGCGAACGGGTTGAAAGGGAGGGAAGAGAAGGGCGTGATGATGATTCGCACGTGTGCGTGCGCGGAAGCGAGGATTCGGTGCGGTCCCCGCGTCTCTGGATATAATCGGCTGAGCTTCTCCCGTCCGGCAACTCTAGCGCCACGAGCAGAGCGTCGAGGCGCTTGCACTGTACAACGTACGCGGCCGAACATTACATAACCGAGAACGATGAACCCAGAGTACAGTCACCCGGCACGCTCGCATCTTCGACGTGCGTCATGCGGAGAGCGCAGCAGCGCGTCGTCGCGCTATATACCCGGAACTCCCGAAATCGCCGCACTTTACATCACCATTGCCACGACATCGGGGAATGAATTTTATTATTGTTGCGATTTTCTAATGCGATTTTTCAGATATGCGCAACGCGAGCAGATAACCGTAACGCGATCGCGACTGTGATAATATATATATGCCGAGCTAGAAATAATGTTAAACAACAAAATGATCATTACGCTTGAGTATATCAAAATCTTCTTGGAATTTATATTGTGTATCTTGTTTGCGTTAATTTTTATATTATTATTTTTGTTTTATTAATCGATAAAGTAATTTACACGGTGGTAATCGTGTTTATTGTTTTATCGTGAGTTTACACGCAAAACAATGCACCGCAAAGTGCAATATTTTCTTTCTCTGTCTACTTTGTCATCTCTATTATCGTCGTGGTTTAGCGACTTCGCTTTTGTTTTTTTTTTTTCTCTAAATCGCATCGTATCAGTTTGTTACGACAACACACGACGACATTTGCGCAATCTCACACCGAAGAGTGCGTTCCATAGTATTTGTTTTATCTGTAGATTATTATATCGGCTTTTAATGCGATGTCACGTCTCGCAAAGCAATCTAGCGAGAGAAAGCAACACAAATTCTATGTACAAATAAAATACTTGATTTGTCTACATCACGCTATTGTCTCTCTCGTTTTAAAGTTTAGTTTTCTCATTTTCATTTATCCTGAATCTCTATTCTACCGTGCTCTTCGCAAGCTCTGAACTAGTTTACGAAAAGACGCAGTAGTAAAAACTTTGTAAAAACATTTTTTCCTCCAAAGAGAATGATTGAAAAAAGATGTAATCAAAAAAAATTTAATTTTATAAAACATTTAGCAAATATTATTGACACGTCAAATAATTTTCAATACAAAAAACTCAACCGGACCAAATTCTTTAAATTTCAAACTTGTTGCAAATTTCTCAAGATTAAAACTATGTAATTAATATTGCGTATAATTGTTAATCTATAAACAGCAAAAATATCTTAACAATAATTTCCCAAATTTTTCAAGATACGGATTTATACACGTTTTGTCATTCTGACGTCGATACGGTACGACGTAGTTTCACACGCACACAAAGTTTGTAATTAACGTCGAATATGAACTTCTCATCTCTCGCAAAGTAGAATTTTTGTTCTCTCTAAAAATTTCCCTCCTGTGTTCGTCCCAGATGATTTCATGATATTTTGTACAGTCATGTACAGTCACGAGCAGAGAGCGGATCTCGCGCAAGCGCGATTAAGAAGCGTAGGAGTTCACGCGTGCACACGCAAATATAGACGAGCGCACGCGCGCTCTTCTTTGCGATTTTCCACCTGGAGACTTTCCAGTCGCGCGCGGCTTTATCACACTCGATGTCACCTCCGCATACGTATACGCACACACGTAGCACCAAGCACTCGCGCGATCAAAAGTGGACAAAACGGACGATGCTGTCTCGATGGAAAGTGCCAAAACTAATGTGAACATATACGCTTCACGATATCCACCTCGAACCAGACACGACGGATTTCCGTTTGACACGCGCGTTTGGAGAGACGATGGCGAGGAAATCTCAGATCACACGTCACGGAGAAACTGGTGCAATGGAAAATGGAGCAAATGAAGGAAGAAGAAGAAGAAGAACAGAAAAGAGAAAAGATGAGGAAACCAAAAAGAAAAAAAGAAAGCAAAGAAATGTCCGTGTATAGAGTGCGTCGCGCGATCCGCGTGGAAAACACTCGCGATCGAACTCCTCGGATTTCTTTGATCGATCGAGAATTTCGGAGGAGCACACTCGCGATTACGCGTATGATCGCGCGAACGGAAAGTTAGATACACGCGGCGTGAATGCGTTCTCTTCTCTCTCTCTCTTTTTCTCTCTCTCTCTCTCTCTCTCTCTCGTTCCTTTTCTTCTCCACTTGTTTATTCTTTCGATCGCAAAACGAGAGAACACCGACCTTCTCGTTAGCTCGCTCGCACGCGACCGGAAAAACTCGCGGAAAGTTCACGACTGACGATATGAATATTTCGGGGATTTTGACGAGCCAAGACCACGGCAATGCGTCAGACGAGGAAGGAGAGAGAGAAGTGTGTGTACGCCCGCGAGCGCGACTTACGAATATAACAGAAAGAGAAAGAGACCGTCGACAAAGACGCAGACAAACCGCGAGAACCAAAGGAAGCAAACGAGATAGAGATGAGAGTGAGACAGAGAGAGAGAGAGAAAGAGAGAGAGATGTTTTTCGGGGACCGGCGTTATAGTGCGCGGGCTGGCATCTCACAATATGTCAGAACTCCCCGCGCCTCCCCTTCATCGCGCGACGATGCGGCGGGTCACTGAACTGCGCGCCTCCGCCTGATGATGGCCGAGTGTGCCTCACCCTTTGCTCCCTCTACTCCTCTTCCCGGACCAATAGCGCCACAGACCCCGCCGCCCCCGCGCAATGCGGAGACCGCCGAATCAGGCCGAAAGACGTCGGTGACTGCCGATCGCCAACGGAGAAAGCCGAAACCAGATTACGAACCGCAGCGCGCGCTTTCTGATCTCGACTCGTGCGACGCGTTTGCTTTATTAACGCGCCTTGTTAAGGTCACTGGCGTGCTACCTAAATGCACACGCGTATCGTATTTCCTGCATCGGAAGCGCGGCTTGCGTGTAATTCGGGGATTTCACGGCAGGGAGAAGTCGGGGTTCTCGTTTTCTCAAGCGGAAATGCGGAATCTGCTACTGTAAATGAAGACCAACACGATGCATAATGTATTTATGAAAGTATGAAACCTCATGTTTGAAAACAAGAAATCGTATATATAATTGTATATTAAAAAAAATAAATTTACAGAATAAAATTTATATAAAAAAAACACTCGAAGTCTGTACACATATAATTGATCATTAGAATGTGATTATTAGAAGATATAAGTAATATATTTATTAAGATACGTGTCTTAATAAATTAAATCTGTGTTTTAATAAATTAAATATTAAAATTTTTTTTTTTTCGGATGAGAAAGTGACTGTAACCAATGATTTTTCTGTCAAGTTGTCATCATCTTCACGCTTCTGTAAACTAGTAACGTTTCGTCGATTGTATCTCCAGAAGCTCTGTCCTATATGTGTTATGTACGCTTTCCCTGCTGACATCATTATTTCCTCTCATCTCTTCATGCCTTTTCCACATAGTTACCCCCCTTCTTGTTCAGAGCCTCGTCCTTGTATGCATTCTCTCTCTTTCTCTATTTTTTCTTCATTTTCCGGCACATATGTACACTACACACTATCCCTTTCTCTCTCTCTCTCTCTCTCTCTCTCTCTCTCTCTCTCTCTTTGTTCTTTTCCGAACACGCGCCGGTCTCACCCTTTCCACCTCCTCACCGCGCTCCGTTCTTTCCACGCCATTTTACTCCTTCCTTCTCTCTTCGTTCCCTCACTCTCTCTGTTCTCTCCGTTTCACCCCTTCCACCATCGTTCCTCATTGTCCTCGCTCGCTTCCCTGCCCTCTCCCTTCTCGCACTCGCCGCTCACTCTGCGATTTCCTCCACCTTCCCCTTCGCCCTCACCGTATCCCTTTCGCTCCTTCGCTCATTTATTGCATAACCGTGCACGAGGTTGCCAACCTGCGCGCCGCGTAATACTCTATAAATACGTTTCGCAAATAAATATTCGCGCGACGACGATATGGATGCGCACAGAAGGCGGCAGTTGCACACATCATCGCCGTCATCGTCGACGAATTCTCGCTTTTCTTGCTATGGAATTCAGCGTGTGAGATCGCGCGCGATATCGCGGATAAGACAGATAAGCCGGTTTTTGATAACGAGATGTGCGCGCCAGAGTGATTGTTGATCGTGTTTACGTTGTTTAGAAAATGAGAGATCTCGGTGGTTTATCAATTAAGCTTGTTATCCGACGTTCAATCACAAGCAAAATCGCGATGTTTTGATACTATATTAAGTTTTTTTTTTGCGCGCTACATATTTGTAGAATAATTTCTGGCACAAGATTCCTATCGGTTCTCAGCTCGCGCCAATCTTGCAGTTAGCTTGAACCAATGTTGATCTATGTTCCTAGCACCAGACACGATACTATTAATCTTTTGGTATTACAAGACTTTAGTATGATATATTCTCGACACCGTAGTGATATTTAAGGTTACAGATTCTTGGTATCCTGGCAGAATCCTAATGTAAACTTTCTAGCATTGCAAATTCGTGGTATTTACCGAAAGAGAACTTTGGTGTCATAAAATTTCCGTGATGCAAAAATGTGATAAAATTAAAACTAAAATTCTTAACATACATATATGCAATTGCATTAAAAACATTTTTCTCAACAAAACGCAGAAAACTAATTTATATCCGAGCAATTGTTAAGATTTTAATAGCTTCTCGCTTCTCTAATCAGCGCAAACGTTGAGTCTTCGCGCCGTTGAGCGAAGATATCACCTTCTTTCAGATCACGGGCTACGCGTAATGACTCGCAACATAACGCAAGATACGCCCGAGTACAAAGGGTTAACGTCGCCGTTCGCTAACTAGCCAGCTCGCTCGCTCGCTCGCTCGCATTCACGCGACGCGCGAGGCTGACGTCACTTGTGACCGGTCCGGAGACGACGAACTTTAAGACAAGCGTTTCCGAGCGTTATAATAAACGTCGAACGCGTAATTCGTGCCAAGTCTGTCCGTAATGCTGTAACCGCGCGCAGCGCAATACACTCGTGCATGTAGTCGCGCGTCATCTCGGAAAGCTTGCTTGAGGTTCAACGACTCTTTCGTTGCTATTATCCGCCGTACGAGCGACGCGCATTGTTTGGCGAACGATCGTAGGCGATACGCCGAGATTTTGACGACGCAGAGATCGTGACGACTAAACGGCTATCCTTGTTAACCCATTTCATCGGCGACGCGTATAAGTGGAAGCGAGCGTAGAAATATGAGTTTGCTTAGTTAGAAATTTGTCGCGACTCATTGGAATTGTAATCTCTGTATCTTTTGATATCGATTTTAGAATATAATAATTTCGCAACTTGACTCTTTGAAATTTTCTCACTGAGTCTTTTAATCTAAATAAGATATCAGGATTCTCTAAATCTTTTCGAACCACTTTTAATAATTTTATATGCTTTTTTAACTAATAAAATCTATTTCGTATAATATGCGAATATCAATAAAAATTCAAATATGGGACATAAAAGCGCTATTATAACATTAAAAAGTAATGTAATATGGACCTGATGTAAAAATGTTAAACATAAATGAATATTATTAAATTAAACAATTTGACATTTTTAAAAATAATCTCAAATTACATACTTCGAAAGAAACTTGAATTAATAAATATTTGTAATAATATATATATATATATATATGTGTGTGTATATATATGTACATATATTAAATATATATAATAAATATGTATTTTTTACTACTTTTTATTTTAAACGTGATTGTTTTTTTAATATATAAAACAATTATCACAAATTTTATTATAATATACTATAACACGATTTTATTATAATATACTATATTAATATCGCGACACATGTATCGCGTAATCGGAAGAAAGTTTTTTCCCCAAATAGATATCAAGTGCTGCGCATGTTTTATCGATAAATGTTGCACTGGTATCGATGCAAACTCGACGCCGAGCGATAATGCTATTTTCCTGTTGAGCATCATATCGGCGACGTGATGAGAATGTTATTGTCACGCTTTTCACACAGAGCGAAATGAAAGAGCTTTCTTAGCTTACATATTGTATTGTTTGTACCTTCTGTCGTGCGCGCGCGTATAATACAAACTCCAATATAAAATATACATAATTTCAACTTTTTAATAAATCTCAATATAAAAGAGCAAAAACCTACTAATAATATTTCAAAAGATTTCAATCTTTACTTTTTGATTATCCATTACTTTTCACGACTATCGATCTTGTTATTTATTGAAAGGGTTTTTATTACACTTTTGATTTATAGAAGTCAGAAGAGCGTAAATACACACAATTAACTTTTAATAAATAAATCTTTTAATAAGTAAAACTTAATAAACAAATGTTCGATTATACATAATTTTGAATATTCGCGGTCTCTATTTGCGTTGTAAATAAAATATAAACATTATTTTGTTATAATTCTGTGTAAGTTAATACCGATGGGATTGTTTGTTTCTCAAATTAATGTACAATTTCGACGGAATGTTGTGAATAAACAACTGTATTTTCTTCGCGTGTTGTGACTTACCTTCGTACCGATTGCTTCGCGCTCTGACCTACTTTCGGGTCGAGATTCACGCTGCACTCGCTACGACCATGCACACGCTTCATGAATGCACTCTAGGAACTGGATATCGCGGCTATGGCGCGTGAAGTCAAGCACGACAATCGTCTTTAGGTCTTGTAAAAACGGCGCTTGAGTAGTCGAAAGATTATGCTATGAAAGCATATGTTTGTGCAAATGAATGGCATGTTAGATTTTCATATTAAAATGCGCGGCAGTATAATAAACATCATGTAACATTATTTCGCGTTATCATCATGTTCATAAAGAATTTTCAAAACTAGTACATTTTACTGTCACACACACGTACACACATGCAGAAAGAAACATATCTTCAATAGATACAAATTGTTGCAAATTGAAAGTCGATGAGAAGAACCACTTTTTTATCTGAATTTTAAATAATATCTGTAAAGTGTATTTTAGTAAAAGTATTGTGTGGTAAATATAGATCTTTCTCTATCTAGCACATCTCACACAAACGTTAGATTTGAAATATTTATTCCCTTTAAAAAGTTTAAGAACTTGGGTTTTTTCGATAAATGACCTATATACATAAATATTTTTGATCCGAAATTTATCGTTTGTCCGATCTGTTAAAGACTCGACTAAATAAGAATTTGAAAAGGAGAGTGATAAATATAAAACAAAATATTACGGAGTTATATGCGCGCGTTTGTCGAACATACGTTACGCAATCAAGTAACGTTCAATTAACACGATTAAATGTTACTAAATGATAATACAAAGAGGTCAGTGTTATGAATCCAATAATAAACGTTTTATTTTTAATACTTCCGGAAATACTTTCGATGAATAATTTCCATCTTACCGAAACTCTGTCATACAAAGAGATTGATGAAAACCACGAAACCAATTGTAGATAATCGGCTTAGTTTTGAACCCAATGACAAGCGTTATATTCTCGATGCATCGAGAATATCTGATGGTTTACAAACTGTTT